TGGAGAGGACCATCATGGCAGACTTCGTCTTCAGAGAGAATTCAAGCCTTCTACAGCAGCCCCAAGACGTTGGGATTGTCATTGATGGTGTGGAAGTCCTCAATGAGTTGCCTTCTGTTGCAGCCGGAGTTGTAATGCTCTTTGGACTTTGCTATGCCCTTATCATGGAGTATCCACAGGGTTTCAGGTTCACCTTTGAGGCCCTTCAGAAGATCCTGATGGAGCTTGGTTCCAACAAGATGACTTCCAAGATTCGCAAACTCAGTGGTGAACTCAAAACTGCACAGTGGTGTATATTTGTGTGTGCTTAATGTGTGCATGTAGTTGCCACTGGCTTCTATTTAAGAGGTAGACCACCTCAGCAGCACTTTGTTATACAGGCTCACGGTGTCACTTTCATGGACTGCTTTTGTTGGAATTTTACTTCTTTGATGATGTTTAGAGATGCAACATTCCTTCATTTGTTTGAACAGTACAACAGTGGATGCTTTCCAACCATTTAGTTTAGCTTGGTAAGCCATATTGTCTTTATTTCATTGCTCTGAGCAACAATGACATGTTTATATTTGTTTGTCTGAACATGCCACTTTTTTTTCTCATTTTTACTTTGAAATGACTGAAAAAATGTTGCTGGAGTGTATTAAGTGTGATTGATGTGAGTGATGCAAATAGTTTTTTAAACCAAATTTCTGAAAAAAAAAAGACTTTCATGGTGAAAATGAATTAACTGAATATTGCTTTGGTGCAATGTATATATATTTGATTGGTTCAATGTAAATATTTTACTTTGGTTCCAAAACTGAAATGTAAATAATTTAACTTGGATAAAGGTGAAGAATTAATATTGGCTCAAGTACAATAATATGGTTTGAATCAAAATTAAATAGCCATGTTGTACCAAACAACTTTATTTACATTCTGTGAAGTCAAATATTTTAGATGCAACAAATGGACATCAAACTTTTTACTTTAAGCAAGGCCACACTTTTTCCAGTGTGGGTGTCCGGAGCAATGTGCCGACTTGGCTCCTGGCAGCACGCCTCTTAAACTCTGACTGAAACTGACCTTTCCCTCCTATCAAACAACGCGGCCTTTCCAATGCCTTTGACTCTGTATAATTCACATGGGTCTCTGACCTGGCTGACAGCCTGGCAGTCGACACACTGAGCTGCAGAGAGCAGCGGGAAGGATGGATGGAAATGCCAACATTAGGACAACTGTGATGGCTAAGCAGCTTTTCCAGGGTCTCGGCTCCATCTTAAGCTGAACACTTGAAGCAAAAGTGGATCAGTATTTTCCCAAATTGGAATCAACAGGTGTGACGTTTTAAAGATTGTAACACCTGCAATCATTCATATTGTCAACAATAACAAAGAATTAACAAGTGTTTTGAAATCTGAATTTAATAAATCCCACTTCGAGCAGTTTTCTTTTTTGGAGGTACAGACACTCGAGGTCTCAGTAACAATTTCTAGATCTTTTTTTGTTTGTTTGTCTTGTTTTTATTTTGTTGGAAACTAAATGCTTTTTGTTGCACCACTTTCCACAAACATCAACTTCCCATAGAGGAAAATGGAACCATTCTTATATTTTTATTGCAAATGTTTTGTTTTTCTTTATTTTAAAACCTAAAATAAGAAGATTTTACCTGACCTTTTATGGAAAAGGTCAGGTAAGACTTTGACTCTAATCAAGTCTTATTTAGCTGGGTTCAGGGGAAAAATGGCTTGGATTGTAAAGGTAGCAGAGCCCTGGGCTAGCCTTTAGGGGTCCCTGATGTCCCGTCCCCTGCCCCTGAGGCTTCAAGGAGGCTCGCTGCTCTTGTTGAGAAATATGGGTTTAAAGTAATACCCACAGTACTGTAATCTGGGCCTAGAGATGCTCCATCCTCCATGAAGTGGAAGCAGATGTGTTGGAGCCAGCTGACTGCTGTCTGTTCACTGAAGGACTCTTCTTAACTTCAGCCTCCACTCTGCCAGATTCAAGATCCTTACAATCTGTGAATCAATAGACCGTTAGATTGTAAATGAGCCTCTTCTCATTTACAATCAGCATGTTGAACATTGGCAGACTTGCATGGTTCACCATCTTTTCCATCATTACAGAGTGGGGTTCCAGCCAGCCTTGGATGCCAACCATCAGTCACGCCTCCAGTCCTCCAGTCCTCTTGTCCTTCACCTGCCAGCTGGCCATGACCTCTGATCCCTGGCCACCAACATTCAGTTTTGTCTGTGGCCTTTTGTTCCTCCCTGGCTTCTACTGGCCAATCTCAGGAAGCTTTACATAAAAGGTACAAAAAAAAGTTTTGGCAACTTACCAAAGAGATCTGTCTGTAAGACCAAGGTTTGGTGACTAATTGTCAGCTCTTGAGACAAGTTTGTATCAAAATTCTAAATCTATACAGCAACATCCTGTAGTTGAAGACGTCTATGCTATCCTGGGATTGGGAAAAATCCTTCAGCTGAAGGCAAACAGCAGTTAGGAAGCCAGCAAGACAAAATCTTATTCTATACCTAGAAAATTCTATTGAAGGCCTTTTCGCTGCCATCTTTAGCCATAAGCCTGGTGGTTAGATGGTTAACCAGCAGAGGAGACAAAGATTTTCTTCCGATTTTACTCATTTAATCTCCACTAAAACAACAAATTTTAATGTCATGGATAATGTGTTTTCATTGATGAAATAAATTGAAACTGAATTCAATCTTGGCCCCTCCTCATTTCTTGTAGGGAAATGTTTTCTGTCTGACATGCTGTTAGTTTACACCAATCTCTCCTGATAAGGTTCTCCACTGTTGTGGTTCTCTGGAGTCTCAAACCATCAGAAATGACTCTACATCACTTTCCAGACTGATACAAGTCAACGACTTTTTCTGGTCCTGAATTACTGTCATGATGTGTTGCTGTCTTTGGTCCTTAAATGAACTTCATATTGTTGAAGACATTCCTATTTAATGCCAGGGTTTATTCAACAACCCTGGCAGCATTCAGACCTTGAAGTGGTTACGGAAATTAAACTAAGCTTTGGAAAATATAACAGAGATAAAAACACCAAAATATGAGAATGTGAAAGCGGATGAATACATCTCCACACCAGTGCAGCAGGAAATGACCATTTATTTGGTTTGAGCCAGTTGCCTTTCAGCTGCCTCCTCCACTCCCCACTCTTCCATGCCCTCTACCAGTGCCAAAAATGAAAAACCAAAGTAGAGAGCATTGTGCAGCTGAGCCTCGTCAGACAGGACAGCAACTATCCCCTCCCATCTCAGAGGGTCTTTGTGTCTCAGAGCCTCGTTGAACAGGGGGTGAGGGGTGTCTGGAGCCCCCTTTCCTCCCTCTGGCATAACAAGCAATCAATAAGAAGCTTTTTTTTTTCCATCTGCCACTAGCTTTGGAAGAGACCCTGTCTTCCTTCACCTTCACCCCAGAGGCAGCCAGTCTCCCAAGCCTGTCTGTAGCCTTCAGCCCAGAGGCCAAATTGCAGCCAGCGGACTCTGTCTTGACTCAAGACAATCTCCCTTGTTGAATCCATTTCATACTCTCATCTCTGTAATTTTTGACATTAATTATTCAGGTCCTTCCAGCCAACAGACATAAATCCATTCTGCCATAATTAAGAGGCTTGAGGTGAAATTAGAAGGGAGGATGGCAGATCTGCATGTTAAAAGGATTTATGAGAGTTCATGGCACTTTAAATATTCATACTACCCATCTGATACAAAGAAAGACACACATTTTCTGGTATTTATACCTTTTTTTAAAGGTATTTATCTATTGTTTATGATATAAGTTCTGTATCAGTGTTCAGGAGGGTAAGCTCACTATTCTGGCTCCAGACTTTAATTTATTGCTGGTCTTGTTATCATAGGAATGTGTTGCTTCTACCAGTGACATTATGAAGACCTTACCACTGGAGAAGCTAGATGAAAACAAGCTGGACAAGCACAGACACACACACACACTATATTTGGATGGAGGAAAACAAAGATCAGTTCTAGAACTCAAGATTTAAAAATTGCTACTAGTAAGCCTGGCTGAGCAAATGAGAGCGGGTAAAAATAGCAAAGTTAAGATGTGCAGCGATGGTAGAAATAAAACAAAGCAGCTGCTCTAGAAACCGTTACCTTAGGGGGATCAACACAGATGCATGCTACAGTTTACTAATAAGTATCTGAAAAACATCACATTCTTCTTCTACTTTGTATTTCTAAATGACAAAGTCTGCACTGTCCTAAACAACGAGTTGTTTGTCTCTAGTTACCATGTGAACAACTTCTGTTGTCCAAAACTCACAAGAACTCTTCATGTTCAGGGATCAGCAGCTTTACAGTAAAATACAGGTGGGCTTGATGAAGAAGTTATTTGTCAAAGGTGAGGACTCATCTAATCACAAGAGACTTCATATATGTGGGACTGTTAGCTGAAGCCACTTCCAGGAGTCCTCATGCTGAGGTGAGTCCAGACAGAGCATATACCTTTCCATTGGCAGTGGCACCAGCCTGCCATATAAAGGGCTCTCTCTCTCTGGGTTGTAATTTGTAGACTTTCAGCCTAATTCACAGGATAAATGCTGATGTCAATTCAACATTTGAAAGTGAACGCACTTCCAAATGTCAATCACTTTCTCAGACTACAATTCTAAACCAGTGCAGAAAATCAATGTCGACTTCACAACTTCTATTTCAGTTTACTAATTGGCCTTGTATTAGTTCTACTCGTGAAATTGAGTTCAATGGATCAAATCCCAGATGGAGCATTTAAGGGAGATGAAAATCGAGTGGAATTCTGTATGTAAAAGCTACGTATCTTCACGTAGTCCGCAGAAAGGCAGGTGTAAGTATAAAATGTGTCATAAAGCTGCTTACAGTAAATTAACAATCTGTATGAGATGCAGTAACAGGAGGCTGACTGAGGTTTTTGCAGTGGTTGAACAGAAGCAATGTGACGTACAGTATGCTGTTCATTAGGAATGTTTCATCAGTTCATCAACATCAGAAACTCACCAGGAATATCCTCTCCAGCTGGTCTTGGATGTCCTTCATTCCAGGAAAGGCAGCCACTCCCTGAATCATCTCAATGAAAATGCAGCCCACTCCCCTGAAACAGAGCAGGATTAGATCAGTGGAGCTCAGCCGAAGCCTTTACGTTGTTCAATAAGCCTGGGCTCTTTATTTCCAAAAGTGCATTAAGTTTACATGATTTTAGCTCCAATAGCCAGAAAAAGAGGTGCTGATTTTCCTTCTCTATAACCTTTTTGTTGGAAATCCTGAGAAATCAAGCCAAGTGGAAGGAAGAAAGAACGACTCAATGTGTGCAGTCAGAGCTCATTTATCAAAGCGTTGTAGATTTTTCTGACAGATTCCCTTTCTGCATCAGTGAACAGCAGCCATCAGAGCAAAGAGACAGGGATATTACCACTATTTCTTCCCTTCAAACTTTTCATTCGGAGCGCTGAGTGGAAGCAGGCGGCTTCATCTTCATGCAGCTCTGACCTCAGCATCCACTATTTCTGCTGGCTCAGGTGGAGCGAGGTCAGCTCAAGGACAAGGGCTGTTTTCAGGGTCGCCCTTGTACCATTATAAGGTTTTGGGGCCATTATGAAGCATTATGGTTAAAACTGTAATGCTGTTTGGTAAATATGTTGATTACTGTGACGTGTTATGATTGGTATCAATGACTGCAGTCAAGTCTCTTTTTGGTTTTTTTTTCTCTCTTTCTGCAGGTTTAGATGCAGACTTCCAGAGTTTTGATTTGTAATGCTTCTTTTTCTTCTTTTTCTTCCTTTTTTTTCCATCTCTGTGTCCATTACTTTTACAATAAGTCAAAACGTAATGAGCTGATTTACTGTAGTCCAAATCAATTTGTAATTGCTTTGGGCTTATTTTATAGCAAAAGCTGGAGCACTCCCCTTGAAAAAGTCAATCTGATTGGCTTCACCTTGACACACAACAACAATTGTGAGAGCCACCCTCCCAGACAAGATACGCTGAAAAACATAAAAAATAAAGAAAGAAAAGCCTTCTTTATCAAATCAACATCCTCAGAAGATTAGGTGCAGTAAATCCAGGGCTTTTTGTTCACAGAGAGCTGATCCTGCCTGAAGTGAGAGTGATGTTGATCTCCACAGCAGAGTGAAGGGATTCAACCAGCTTAATTTTAGTCATTTAATTATGTTTTATGCAAGACATGGATAATTTCACATACTGTCAGATCAGACTTTTCCATCCGATCACTGCCATGGATGTGGCTCTTAGGCTTTCAAAAATTTATTTGAATTTGATCAATGATTTTGGGACGTTGCATATCAACCACGCGCTTTTTTGAGTCATGGATCATCATTATTCTGGATGAATATTCTAACAGTAATTCTAGGCACAGTAATTCTAGGCTAGTAATTCTTCCATGTATTTTCAAAAGGGGTGAGGTTAGAGCTTTGGGCATTTCCAGAATATTGGCTGGCTTTAGCCACTCTAAAACAGACTTGATGTGAGTTTGGGATGATTGCTTTGCTGGAGAATTCCTTGAGTTCGGATCTCAACCACCTAAGATGTTGATGTAAGAAAGTTCACAATTAAGAGGTGCTTCCTCTGTCCATATATCTCTTTTCCTCTCTTTCTTCTCCTTTCAGGGTCACAGAGGAGCTGGTGACCAATGATGGGAGATGGGCTACACCTGGACCAGTCTTATCACTTGACTCCTGGAACCTTCTTTCCTCCCTTATGAGATTTAGGCAAATGTACAGCTGAGCTCAAAAGCGTTTATACCCTAATTGTATCAGGTAGAGGGTGAAAAAAACATCTCTCTCAAAATATTATGTAACACAACAGATCTTCTTTAAAACATCTGTTTTTGTTTTTAATATGGGATTAAATGGCATGTAAAACATTATTTACACCTTCTCTAATAAGGAATGGGACAATATTTATTGGCAATGATGAGCTCCAAGCCTTTCAGGTTAGAAGGTCTCCTTGCCATCACTTTAATTTTTAACCGTTATTAAATTCAAGTCATGATGTTAGTATTACTTCCAGTCAGGAGAAACGTGATGGTTAAATAAAAGTACTAAACATGCTAGGAGTGTTAATCATTTTGGGATTGTGTATGGTTATGACCCTGGGTCCCTTACAAAATCTGAAATAAATTACAATTTGGAGACCCAAATCTTAAGTAATCATAAGTACAGTAAACTACATTGTACTTATGGGCTGCATTATTGTTGCATCTTACAAAACCAGTGATTAAAAATATCCTTAAAGATTAAAGTTAGTTTTTAAGGACTATGGATATGATGAATTTCATACCACAACTTTGAGACAGAATCTTGCTAATCACTGTGTCAGTTAGTGGAGGAAACACTGAAGGTGTTTAATAACAACAAACCTGTGATTCTGTCAGACCAGATACAAGCGTTAGTCTTTTGTTTAAAGATGCTTCCAAATGTGATGATCTTACAGCACACTGTACAGAACCAATGTTGGGAATAACTGAGGTAGATTATTTTTTATTATTAATCTTGCTGTTCACTTATTTACCAAAACTCAGAGATGTCCTCTGGTGCAAACTTGAGACTTCAAATGTGCTCAACACATACCAGATCAAACTGTTGACTCTGACTGGAATTGAAATTTGCAGTTCAGGGAAGTGCTGATGAAGGCAAAAATAGAACAGTTCCTCATTTCTCCTCTTCCATCACATTTGTCTTCCTCAACCCCGCAGTCGGAAAGATGGATGCTTCTCACCACAGGAAGACAGATCTGTGTAACCTTTAACAGTCTTGCAAAGGATGCTCCTTATGGTGGCTGTTTTCTGAATTGGTAGAACAGGGTGAGTGGAAGCGTGTCACAGGGTGATTCTGGGCGGACCGGAACGACACCCTGTGGAATCGGCCCATCCTTGAAGGAGACAAGGAGCCACTGCCCACCCAGTCCTGCAGCTCTGCTGTGTAATTAAAAAGCACACTGCAGCCGGGTCTGCAGGGATTTACCTCTGTCCTCACAAACTGTCACCAACGCTTGAGTAACCCAGACCAAGTTCACACCAGTGAAAATCATTTTCTGCGGTAGTTTAACTCTTAGATATGTTTTTCATTCTTAAACTTTTCACAAAAGACTCCTATTAAAATCTTAGTTTAGTGTTGAAGCATCTGGGGAACTTAGAGACGACTTTGTAGAGGATTTTTTTTCCTGTTTATTTGTAATTCACAGGGAAGACCAACAAGACCATCTCTTTGTTTACTTCCTTCTCGTTGTTGCAGCAGCTTGTAAAGACCTCATGTGGTTTGGTGTCAAACAGAACATCAGACCAAAGAACCAAACTGCCAACATTAGAGGGGCTCTGGAGCACAAATGATATGTAGTTTTATTCAGGTAAAGAAAGCAAAACATCAACATAAAGACGGCCATTTTACCTATCATTCTGAAATATAATCAGTTTTTCCCTCTGGAGTTGCAAGGATCCGCCTGCAGCAAGAAAGCAGCTGAGACCCTCACATGACCGCCGACTGTATTTCTGTCATTAAATAGCAAACAGTCGCCTCTCATTAAGCCCTTTGCTAATCTTCAGCTGCCTCTCATGTCTGAAGTGCTTTGCCTGTTTGTAAGTGCTCTGCAGTGTGTTGTGTCCCTGCTTACTTTAGGGCCCAAGGTAGAAATCTGCTTAAGGAAGCAATTAAGTTCAAAAAGCAGAGCCACAAAGAAAGAGACAATATAAGACTTTCTGTTTCATCGATATCCAGAAATTGATTATTTCCCTCCTGTTTTAATGCTTCAATGTGGAAAGAGATTTTTTAAATTAAAGACATTTTAAGGCTTTTACAGTAATACAGGAAGACATTTTAGGACTTTTAAAGATATGCAAACACCCTGGGCTTCGGATGCATCTCATTCACAATGTAAGGCCATATCATCTGAAACTGCACTGTAAATTATCCTGTTAACCTAGATTCCTGCTTGAAAAAAGTCTGCAGAGCCCACATCTCATCTGGTGTAGTTATCCTCCTTCTAACTGTATTTCAGTCCATTTGTCTTTCTTCTAAACTCTAAATGGTTTTCAATATTAAACAGTTCTCTGCAAAGTATCGTTATTGGTTATCAGAGATGTTGTATAGGCCTCATTCAGCTGAGTCACTGTTAACTCAGATCAATGAGGGTTTTAGTGTGTGTAATGGGTGTGTGCTATCCTGAAGCTGCTGCAAAAATTTCAGCGTGACATTGAAGGATCTGCAGGAAAGGCCAAGTCAGCTGAATCCAGTTTAATGCTTTGTGTACCGATGGCATCTCATCTTTTACTTAACTTTTGTTCAGGAAGTCTAAAGAAGATCAGCAAAAACAAATAAATTCTCTCAGGTATTGTGAGGGGAAAAAAACCCAATTCCTGTTAAAGTCCTGGCTGAAAAAACTGCTCAGTTTCATTTCAACTCTTAGGTTCCCAACAGAGAAAATGTATAAAACATAATAAATTTATCTCCAATCCAAAATAATTTAGGCAAACTGAAGATAGGTTGCTATGAGTTCTGCTGATGTACAGATCTAACTGAGCAAACATTAACAATATAGGCGGTCAAGAAAAAACAAAAAGATATGTTACAAAAAATAAAATAAAAAAATACCCTCCCCCCCCCCAAAAAAAACAACAAAAATACAAAAAAAAGTTTGCTGAAACAATTACCTCCAGGCATAAAGTTTGTGCACATGTAAAAACAAAGAAGCTGAACTGAGCTGCAGAAAGAGCTCTGCTCAGCAGTACTGTGTCTCCTGTTTGTTCTGGCAGGACGGTCCACTTCTGCCCCTCTGTCTGTGTGAGGCAGACCAAGGGACTTTTATGTACTTTATGTATTGTTCTGGGAACTCATATGACTGGTATTTGGGTCCAATAAAAACTACCATGTACAAGAGCCAGGATTATAATTTACACATCATAACAATGCCATATACAAACAGCTCGGACCGCTTAGAAGATATCACAAAACATGAAATGTACATTTTCACTTTAAAAACATCCAGGTAAAACATGAGGAGTCTCAATTCATCACAATTAATTATAATACAAATATTTACATTCCATTGACATTGGACTCCAACAGAACTCCAAACCTTTAAAGAGGATATGGTGCCATTTTATAGCACAATCAAAAATCTATGTTTATCTTTAGTTAGAAAATGCTACATAACAATATATTTTTAACAAAAAAATAAAATAAAAAAGAAATGTGACTTTGCATCATAGTATAACTTTGCATCTGATGCCTTGAAATTCTCTTTAAGAATCTCTTCCCCTTTCCAGTGCTCCGCCTTCAGCGGAGTCATCAGATTAATGCTTCTTCGTGATGCCATTCACAACTGTCTTTAAGACTGAGACGTAATTTCTACATTGAGCTCAGCAGGCACTCACTTTCACCTGGTATTTTTGCTAATTGCTGCTGGCGCTAGGGGAAGGCGTGCTGTTAGTGCTTACTTCAACTCTTTTTTGGTGTATATTATCAACATGCTTCACTGTTTTATTTGCTATTCCATAAATTTTGAACATAAAAGACAGCTTATTTATTTTTTATTTTTTTAGAAACAGTTGAAACCTGTAATCTGTGGGGTTGATTTTAGAAATATATAAAAGGTTAAAATTATAATCCTACAGTTGGTGTAGATTTTACACCACACATAAAGTAAAGAACAGGTAGTAATAAATGGATTTCAGTTGTTTTGCAATTAATTGTGTTTTTCAAGATCCCCAAAGAAAGTGATTCTAGCTCCATGTCTCTACTTCAATAAATCAACACTAAATGAGATGAAAAAAATGCAGAAGGCACCAACCACATGTACCCACCACATGTCCAAGCAGGTGGAGTAGTCGGTGGATCCCAGCAGGACATCTGGAGGCCGGTACCACAGGGTCACCACCTCATTGGAGTACGTGTGACTAGGGACTGACTTGGCCCTGGCAAGTCCTGAGAGGGGACAGGAAGCACAAACATAACAAAAATCTTTCATTTAGTCTGAATCATTGGCATTTACAGTTTGCCTGGTGCAGATTTTGAACCACTGTTCATAGTCTGTGTAATTCTGAAACATTGAGTGAAGTCTTATTACAGAGTCTTCTGAGAGTTGGGTGTTTAGAATAATTTTTGCATGATCAAAGTTACCTTTTCAGTGGAGATAAAGATTTAAGACGTCTGAAGTTTTAGTAAAACAGAAAAAAATAAATACCAGCCAAATAAACCCAAAGGACACATAAAGCTCTTGTTTCCAGGCAAATATCATGATTATTAGGTATTTTTAGACCAACCCTATAGCAGGTGTAGAGTTTAGTCCAATCTAAGGTTCGTCCATGGTGATTCCATGGCTAGGCCTACTTGTCTTTTGTGAATCTTTAATGTTTCTCAGGGGTTTTATTACATTCACCAAATTCCTGCTCTTCTAGCATTTATCAGTTTGGTGACAGAAACCCAGTTAATAGTAGAGCAAAGTGCAAAGGCAGTGAGCTTTAATGAGGCTTATGGCATTACCCCTCTGTCTCTTCCCGAGTGGTAGAAGGGCTTAATTAAAGCATTTAGCTTTGTAAAAAAGAAGAAGAAAAAAAAAACTTCCTGCCCTGCAGCGAGTCCCCTGTGAAAGGGAGGAAAAAGGGCAGAGGGGGAGAATAAATGATAGGGGGGAGAAGGTATTTAACATTTCCTTGTGTCAGAACACCCACAGGAGATGGGAGTTTCAGCCGACACTCATTACCCACCACTGTAATTTCCACACACTGATCTAACACAGAATGGAGGGCATCAGACCACTCATGGTGAGAGGCTATCATCTCCACCGCGTGTGTATGTGCGTGTGTGCACGCGTGTGTGTGAGACAACTTTATGAAGGTGGTTATAATGGTTGGAGGTTGGCATGCTTTTGTAGCTTATGCAGCTGTTGTTTAGGAGAGAAACAAAGCGTGTGTGGAAAGTCAGGATTAAGGAATACCAAGCCATCCAGCTTCCCACTGTTCCCAGCACGCCTGTCAACACTTCCAGCAGAACCATATGCTGCTGGGGCCCAGTAGGCGGTACACACACTGGTGCTGCTCTGAAGGCTTCAGTTTGAACAATACGTCGTACTCTTTATCTGTGTAATGACTCTCATCCATCGGCTGGCAGCAAAGCTTCGTTTTTAAATATCTAATATTTCTCTGTTTTATTTCTCAGAGATAATTTCCTCCATGACTTTGATTATATACCACGTCATTTAGTCAGCTATTTTCCAAACTCACTTTATTCTGCTCAGGGATTTTGGGATGATGGAAACTAGTCTATCTCTACCTGAACTAACAGACACAGCTCTGGAACTAATAACCCAGGAGTTCCCGAACTCATAGCAAAGCCAGCTTGGTTGTAGCTAGCTGGGGTTAGCAATTAGTGACAGGTTGAAAAGCAAGCCCCTGTATTCTAAAACTTAAACTGACAACCTGAAGGTGATGAATAGATAGATGGATGGAATATCTGAACTGTACGCTGAAATGTTAATTTCCATCATATGAATATGTTTTAGCTAATATATGGACTCAGTAGAGACAAGGAGTCAGGCTCTTGGCTACAGCAAAGATTTGAGGGAAAAAGTGACTAAGGTGCTTGTGGTGAACCAAAAACAGCTAATGACACAACAAGCATCTGTAATTAGCAAGATTGCACATGAAATTAATGATGGAGCTGGTTCTCTGCCATCGCTGACCAAAGGCAAGTTTGTTTTCCACCCACAGACACTTTAAATGCAGCCAAAATGTCTTACCTCACCGTGTTCAGCACTCACTAGAAAATATCTCATTTCCTCAAAAGTCTAACTCCCTGAGCACATACAAAACTGGCAAACTCACGTTACCACTCTGTAGTGTAAGAACATCTGGTTCACCTTGGGCACATCTTCGTGGGTATTTTTCAGCAGATATAATGGCAACAGAAAAGACAAATGGATTCAACCTTCCCTCTCTAAGCCCCCTGTGTTCCATCACAAAGAGGACACTACTTCAAAGGTCTGACCTTTGGATTCAAACACACTCAGACCTTCAACCACCTTCACTCAGGGCGCTTCTCCAGCTAACCTCCTTCCTGTGCAGGTAGCACTCCAAAGAAAGGTCAGGCGTTAATTATACATCACTATCTTACACTCTCTTACGGGTTCAACAAAAATACAGTGGTGAGAGGGAGGACAACGAGATAGGGTGAAGGAGGATGGTGTGGAAAAATAAAATGGGCTGCATACCGCTTTGTTTCAGCATTTGAATATGGTTAGGTTGTGATTTTCTCAGAAATCCTGAGAAAAAAAAAGATTCCTAAAGATGTGCCCAATTTCATGTTTTCCCACAAGTTAATATGTTTGGAGAATTTGTAAAATACCTCTTATTAACATATTGAAGATTTTGTGTTTGACCTTGTCTGAGTATCCAGTCGAAGCAGGATCATTTTGGCCCTTTACTTCCACTTTATTGATATCTGCGGAGACACATGAATGCACAGATCTACAGGCTTCCTTTAGTCTCTGATTCTGTTACTTCTGCAATGTTAATATTTGTTTTAACACATCTAATCTAAAATTTAATTTGAAAATGTGCTTCACAAATAAACGTAAACTTGACTTAACATACAAGAGCTATTAAAGTAATCAATAAGTCAGTAGAACCAGTATCAAGGTCAACAAAACAATTAAACGTGTCTAAGTAACTAACTACAGTGGTCAACCAGACAGAAACCCTAATGTGACTTAAGGGTTTCAACTTAGTAATGAATTTTGTAGTTAAAGGAATCGTAGGCAGCAGTGTTGCTGGGTGAAATAATGGTGAAAATATTACTATTCTATTTTCAGGTGGGAGGTCTGAGGCCAGAGCAGGTCTGGCCTCAGACAGACCTGATGGGGGCACTATACTCTTACTCTGATTTATGAAAAAACAACATTTTAAGGTGACACTTTTTTTTGTTCCAGTGCTGTGTAATTTTTTTACACAGATCCCTTTGTTCACTGAAGCAGTTCGATGAAAAAAACAGTTACTTGTGGCAGTTTGATCTGACAAATGATCTTTTTAAGTCAATTAGAAGCTAGCCAATCACTGATGCGTGTGTGTGTCTGTGTTTTGTGGCATCCCTGGTCTTAACATGCCAATACATACATACATACATACATACATACATATATATATATATATATATATATATATATATATATATATATATATATATATATATATATATATATATATATGTGTGTGTGTATATAGTCAAAGCTCATTTGCCAACAAAAGTGGGCTGTAGCCAGCTCTGCATGAGGGTACAGTACTCTGTAGTGAGTCAGGTCAGTAATTACCAACTACGTTCATCTCAGCTGTTCATTTCAGTTTATTTCCAAGTTTGGACCAAACCACACACAGATCAGCAGCATTTCTTAACCTAATGGACTTCAAAAAGACCATCTGCCTGTGTGTTCAGGCCCAGTGCTGGTGCAGTGAGGCACTGGGCCGAACGTCACACTGGGGAGATCCAAACAGTCCGACCCGGATGCCTGGGACATTCCTCCAGCTCCATTGTCACATTGCTTCCCTCCTCACACATCATTATCCCAGCAGCTGTTTCTCCTAAGAAACTCCCCACTATAACACACACATCAGTGATTGACTAGCTACAGCAGCTCTCTTACACAGAAGAAACAAGAGTTCAGCCTGGAAGTCAGCTGAGTGTGAAACAGCTGCGTATACCTGCTCTTCCTTCTCACACCTTACTGAAAATCAGAAGCAAATCTAAGAACAGAACGATGTGAATAAATTGGACATTAATCAATCATTTTGATGATAAAATAACATCCAGTGACGGCTTTAACATTTCAACTTTAATTGATAGAAAACTCTTCAGGTAATGTAACATTTATACAAAGTAATATATTTAGGTTGTGAGTGTTTTTAAAACAAACACTGATGATTTAAATGTTCATGTTAAATGACTTTTCAACAACTCAGCAAAAATAAAAAATAAAAAATATTGGTACACTTGAAATAAGACTAAACTCACAAGTAATTCTCAGCAAGACAAAGGATCATGCTTTAAGTAATTATTTCCCCAATAATGATAAAAACAGTGATAGTTCCAGTGGAAAATTATTGAACTTATATTGTAGCAGGACTTTTTCCATTTTGTAAGTGAAATGATAGTGAAATGAAATGCTGACTAAGGAATGTTTGGAGTTTCCTTTTGACTTATGTTGGTGCTGCTGTTGGACCTGTAATTATGTCTGACTGTGGAAAAGTCCTGAATGGCAAAGGCCTCTTTTCTAGAGGTATAGGAAAATATTCTCCAGTCAGAGGCTTTTTCAGATTTGCTGGAATAAAGACAGCTATAGGAGACCCTTCCTGCCCTCAACCATCAGCATTTACGAAACCTCTTTGAAGAAACTTGTTTAGTTATAAAATTCAATTTCCCTCTGGATCAATAAAGTATTTGAATTCAATTTATGTCTTTATAAACCAGAAACACAGGATATGATCCACTGTATTATGCCTAATTCAGTCCAAGCAATTGTTTTTGTTCTCTCTGACTGTTACCAACAAAAACCGACAACACTACTACTCTCCCTAATGTATCGCGGTCATTAAGAAAGCAAATACCAGTGAAATATTAAAGTAAGTTTTATCTGTAAATCAGTAAATCCTCCTGCTGCCTCATACTTCACCCAGACCCTACAACAACTAGCACAGCTCAGGGGGAGAAACAAAAGCAGGCCTGAAATAATCACCTGTAGGTGAGGAAGGTGTGTGAACTGACAGAGAAAAGCAGCTCTAATAGTTCACACAGCTGCTTCTACACAAACAGTGAACATCAGAAGGCTTAGCTGGCCTCAATTAGCTGTGTCCTTGATATGAAACGCGGGCTCCTTAAAGCCTCATTTACAACGCTACTGCTTGTTTCTGCTCATTAAAAAGAGCGTAAATCCACAATGGAGCAGAGAGGAGCATCTGGACCGACCCACATCCAGCAGCAGGGATACGGAATCCCGGCTTCTTTTGCTGATGAGAAACTGTTGCTCTGTGGTTAGGCTGAGCCTTCTGAGCCCTCTGCACATGCAGATAAGGACGGGATGATTCAATAATAATACCAGCTGGTTTAGCAGGTAATGTCCAACCTCTCAACTTTCTGGATTAATATCAGGCTGCGGACCCTCGGAGTCACTTTCACAACTTTGAGCTCCAGCAGTCTAACAACGCCCTTCTGTTCACACAGGCTCAGAGGAAATCCAGTCTCACTTCATTTCAGTTCTTACTTGCAATGCGGTTGAATAAATGCTATTATTTAAGCACTGCCACATCGTTTCCTGTCTTCCTCTGTGTGCTGGGTTCCAAACGGAACAGCTCTTGTGTTGGTCCAGGAAGAGATTAATGTGATGGAGTCACAGTCAACGATTACAAAAAACAGCAGAGCACTACAACTGGAGAAAACCTGGGACAATATTTCCCGCAAAGATGAAAAGCTGTGAGTTTTTTTTTTCAAGCTCTGATAGTTAAACAACTCTTTACAAAATAACCCAGAACAACATCTAAAGGCCTTGGTTTAGTTAAGATCAGAGTTCATAGATCAACAATACAGAAAAAGAGACAGAGGCAGAAATCACAGCTGACCCAAAGGAACACAAAGACCCGTCTCCTCCAAAATATATCTTGATCATGTTGTGGGAAAATGTTCTGTGAACCGAGGAGATAAAAGTGGAGTTTTGTGTTTGTTACAACAGGAACAGAGCTAATACAGATCCAGCTTCAGCCATAGTTCAGCTGTCTGCAGCTCAACCAAACAACTCTCTGCAGTAACGCTGGAGGAGTATCAGCCTGGTCATCAGTTCTGGCAAAGCTTGTGTTTTTTAGCATGATAATGATTTGATGCTAAAAAAAAAAGACTAAACACAGAGAGAATAAACAGAAGCAATTATGCTCCAGCTGTATGGATTATTTTATATGCTGGAGAGTAAATGTGGTGAAGCTGCAACGGCTCAGACAGACACTTCAGGATGAAAATGATCAACAAAGATCAAATTGAAAAACAAAAGAAGAAGACTAAAATACAAGATGGATTCCTACAATTAAAGGAATTCAGGAATGTTATGGAGAAACTCTTCACATATGAAGCTGAAAGAACTTTGACATTCAGGAGAGAAGAAGATGAAGAAAAGGAAATCCCAAGGGATGGGATTTTACAGATGCATTGGTGATGATTTAAACCCCATTTGAGTCAAAGTCGTTCATTATGCCCTACTATGTAATGATACCCAAGGTATGTTGTTGGAGGTTTCATGTCAGTGACCTACAGGGTGAAGAGATGAGATGCTAACCATTGTGGGTCAGGCTGGTCATGTTAAGAGTAACAACCCGACTTCTATCTTCACTCACTGTCTGCTGCCTTTCACTGATGGATGCAAGGCTTACCAGCCTTAGCTTCCTCTCTGTTCACGCCCCCCATCCATCCTTTATGTGTGCCCCAGCCAGAGCCACAGGCCTCAGCTGTGGACCGTTAGTATTCCTGCTGCCAAGCAGAGACCCCCAGGAGCGCTGGAGGCACACACACCCACCCTTCTCATCTGGCCCCCCTCTTGCCAGGCCTGACTTTGTGCATGTGTGTGCGGGGGTGTGCGTGTGTGCGGATGTGTGGGTGTGTGCAACTATAGTGGGATTTTCATATTTGCTAACATGGTATTTTGTCCATTAATTTTCTCTTCCTCATTTCCTTCACAGTAATGTTTCTGCACTAAAACAAGGTTTGCATTATTGATGAAGTGCGCACACACACACCCGCACCCACACACCCCAATCCTCCTCCCATCTGTCTCGGCAGAGGGATAGAGGGGCGGAAGGGTGCAGAAGATGGATGGGCAGAGAGAAGGAGGAAATGGGTGGAGAGATAAAAAGGGTGTGCTGGACAAAAGACACGCCTGGAAGGATGGACGGATGGATGGATGGGCAGACAGATGGACTACGCTAAATGAGGCAGCCTGGCTAGTTTGTCCCGCCAGGAAGTCACAAAGTAGACTTACTGCACATCAATCCAAGCCATATGGTTCTGCTTCACACACACTATTATGTGGATAGGTTCAAAAACACACAGACCAGAGGCAGGGAACTGATTGACTCATACATTGCAACTTTTGCCATTTTTTTGCATGTGCTTGCAGGAAAAACATCAAATGTGATTGTTTGGAAGGGTTAAGAAGGAAGTATCCTCTCTCTTAAAGCAACAGAGCATCATGGGTTGGGTTTGCAAAGCTGCATCTGAATGAAACAAAAGACTTCTGAATCAATGTCATGGACAAACAAGAAGAAAGTAGACATGTTTGGCCATGATGCACAGCGCCACATTTGGAGAGAAACAAACACAAACGTTAGCACAAACGCTATGTGCTAACTCTTGTACACAGAGACGAAGGGAGAAAATTAGCATCAACATCAGAGCATTAGTTTGCAGTGCACTCACCAAAGTCGGCGAGTTTTAGCTCTCCAGTGTCGCTGATGAGCAGGTTCTGTGGTTTCAGGTCGCGGTGGAGGATGTACCTCTGGTGAATGTAGGACAGGCCTCTCAACAACTGGAATAGGAAGAGCTGGAGAAACAACAAAAAAACAAATGAACAAAGAGAAGTAAGTCTGTTCATAAAACACGACAAACAAGTCTGTTGTTTCATCATTTTTCAGGACTCAGGAGGCTCAGGACTTTAGTCAGGGTTATCTGGACAGATTCATTCGTTCGTCAGAAGCATTAGCAACTGGACAGAGCGAAAATAACAATCACTTGCCGTGTTTCTTTTAACAGTGCATGGAATCAGCAAATGGAAATTCTGAAAATTAATTTGCTCAATGGAAACACAAATAAAAAAAAAATCAGTTTTTTTCACTAAAAAGTGAGGGTTAGCGTGTTTTTCAACCATAACAAAATAGATGTATTTTGAAAAGTTTCTATGTAAACACTTTTTTAGACTCATAACAGTCAGATTAACAACAGCCTGATGTTACTACTGGTAAAACCATGAAGAAGAGGACAAGAAGCAGTAGGAGGATGATGGTGTATGCTTTGGGGGATTTTTGGACAATGTGCAGCTCGCTCCACCAGAGCTCTCACAGCATCACATCCCATTAAAAATTATGGGTCATTGCAATGCGTTGGATCTGCAGCTCTTCTGTAAAATGGCCGACTACAATTTCCCCAAAACACCACATGTGTAGACACTCCAACACTCCTCTAATAGATGATGAATGCCAGTGTCATGGCTGAATATATCTCACAGAACTGTTTATATCAGTCACTACCATTATTTTTAATGACTTAAGCTTTCTCAAATGTTATTTAAATGTTATACCTTATTCGATGGAAACATCGCAATTGCAGAATTGTGTTTTTTCAATATTAGGAGAATATAGACAAAGATTAAAATGGAAACACATAGACTAACTCTTCCAATTTACTTACTTCAGTAATTGGTCTGAGCAACGTTTTATTTCTTCATAATCACGGCCTCCACTCTATTTTTACTCTGTACGTCTTACACCTTTAAGAAAAAAAATTGAGTGAAAAGCAGAACTGTGTCGGGATCCGATAGATGTTGCTGAAAGGTTGGCAGGTCAGGTTTCTGAGATTCGTTACTGCAAAGGGAGGAAAATCGATGGACGGGAGCATGAGATGACTGCTGACAACACAGGAAATGGCTCACTACTGGAAGATAATCTGACCTTTGAACCAGAAGGGAGATTTTATTTATTCCTCAGTACGTCGGGCATGTCTCTGTTTGCATCAGTCACACTGCTGCATATTGGATTTTTTAATCAACTGAGCTACATGCAAATAAAAACTGTAGCAAATGAATTTACTGCAGTGATGTGCTGAAAGCTTCTGCATCCTTTTGAGCTTGCTTCTATCTTTGTGCTTCGAAGAGAATTTTTATTTAGTTTGCAATTCAAATCTGAGGATGAATAACATTTGTGAATTCAAAGCTCTAGCCAAGTTGGAAGTGAACTGTAAATATGTGTTTCCTGGTTTTGTAGAATTGTAGCTGAATTTGGGATTAATGCGATGTGATAAGACCCAGTCTGAACTGAACTGACAGGAACGGTCATTTTTGTACTCTAGAATACAGTCAGCTCTGTTACTGCCAGCTGATTGGCTTTAATACAAGCCCATGTCATCATTCCCCCACTGATGTGCTGACAAATTCCTTGTTTGTCCCAAATTTCTGCCTGGTTTTAGCCAAACAACTCTACTTTTGATATGATGCAGGACCAAAGAATAGAGAAGGAGGAAGTTCAAAGCATCTTCTCCATCATAAGACAGAGATTTAAAGAGGAGCATCAAAAACAAATAAGGTGGATTAGAAGAGCTTCTGACTGCATCATCCAGGACATGTTACTGTCCCTGGAAGCTGAGTTGTTATAATACAGCAACATCTTCAGTTAGAGGCTTTTTCAGATTTGTTGCATCACCGACCTCTACTAGAAATCCTTCCTGCTCATAGAATCACTATCCAATACACTCTTTGAAGGTATGTGGATGATGATTTATGACATTTAATTTCATTTTTAGACCGGTAAAGAAATTTAAGAATTGCACTTAATATAGTAACTCAACTCAGATTGATTTGCAACAAAAGAGACAAAATTAAAGGGGCATAAATATAGGACATGAAGGAGTTCCTATGATATGTTTACCAGAAACACAGTTGCACCAAGTGTTTGCTAATTGCTGCTGCCACTAGTCTGGAGGAGCTGAATGACAGGAAGGTATGCATCATGAAGCAGAAGCTTGTTTTCTGGTACATGGATGGTTGCTGTGGAAGATTAAAGGATTTCTCAAGAGGAGCAGCAGCACTCCAACTATGTTTTTAATGAGGGGATAACATTATAGCATGATGTAAACTCAAAAGAATGGATTTTACCTGACTATTTAACAAACAACTGTCGCTCCAATGAGATGCATCACTCAGCTCCCGGGAGCACATCATGGGGATTTTTCTTGTTCATAGTCATAATGTCTTGGCAGATTGGTGTATTTCAGATGATTTGTTTCCTGCATTTGCTAATTAAACACATATAATTAAATTGGTTCTTTTACTATATTAAAATGCCCAGAAAAATGTTATCAAAATGTCTGAATGTACATCCGCTGACATGCCAAGCAGGAAGATTGAATTACATTTAAATTGACATATTTAATCCCAGTTAAAGCACTTCACCATTTCAGAACACTCCTCAACCCGCCTCCAGCGATCTTCAATCCAATGCACAGTGCCAACAAAAATGCTGTTTTTAACATGTTTCCTTCATAAAGTACCTGCTGCTGTCACTCTGACGGCTTCAGGAGGTAAACAAAGCCCTGAACCCAGAGTCAGAGCTTGTTTTTCTTTTTGTGCCTCTGAGATCTGGCGGCACATCACCCCACTTCTGTAGACACGTCAGTCAACAAATAACGAGGCGTGTGCCACGCAGCTCTTCATTTCATTCCAATTCCAGCAATCCACTCTCGTCTCTCTCCCCTCACTGATACTCTAGTTGTGGCCAATTAAGCTGATTGAAGCACCGTGGAGTCCAATCAAGGACAGGAGCCTTGTCTGGCATCTGGAGCCACCGGGTCAACAGCTTACTCTTCCTCCACTTGGCGGGGCAGAGACGAGCCACGGCGAGGAAAATTAGCATAGACGTGTGTGTGTTTGCTCATGTATATCAAAGACCCTTGTGAAAAACTCTCACCCTGTCATGGCTCGGATAAAAAGGAAAGAAAACTCTCTTTTCTTCCCCTCTCTCTTCAAACCGGGCCATGAAGGAGTGTGGTTCTTTTTCTGCTGCAAACACCTGACTTCTATTTGCATTTTAATATTATAGAGATGGACCATGAAGGAGGCTGTTTATGCAACTTTGACTGGATAGTAATACGCCTCTGACATAAAGCAAGCTTCAAGGCAAAAAACACACAAAGTCCTAATAGGAGGCCTGAAGGTTGGGCTAGCGTGTCTATGGAGCGTGTCTTGTTGCTGGCAACAGATTGGAGGATGAAGAAAGCAATTACAAGTGTGACGGCATAAATAAACCATGTGAACGCACAGGTACATCCAATATACCAAATTAATAGCCAAGTTGGAAAACTTTTTCTATGGAGAACAAGTTTAAAAGAACAGCAAAGAAAGAATATTTCAAAATAAAGAATGAAGATGAAAGAATGAAATATTTCTTTGGGTAGCCATGCGGGGACATAGTAGATGTGCTCTCATATCACAGTTTTGGAGGGTGTTTCCAGTGACTGCAAGCAGCATTTGGACTCGTATAACTCAGGTCAATGCATAATTTGGACTGCTGGGTCCTGATTTTGATACAGATTGTTCTTTTATGGTATTTTCTACTCCTGGCCACACATTTGAATTTCCAGCTCCAAAAAAATCATGCAAGCGCTCCCAGAATTACATCTCGAAGAGTTGGGGTTTTCAAAGCAGCCTGAGATTCTGCCACTTTACAGTGAGTCTGTGTTTGGTGGCAGGCATGCCCAGGTAAAACAACACAGTTAGTCTTGTTTTGTCTCATTAATGTAGCTCTTTCTTGAGGGATATTGATTGAAACAATATTCCTCAAGGATCGTTATGCTTCCATGTGTGAATTTGTTTAATCATGATGCATTATTAGTTCCTTACTGTGGGAGAAATGAGCTGTCTGATTGGAGTTAAATCATCCATTAACATAATCCATCACCTGAAGAATGACCCCACTGCACGGAAAATAATCCATCATCAGCACACTGATAAACACACTGCCATTTCTCTAATGATTAAATACTTATTGCAGTCATACCCAGGGCGATCAGAGCTCCGTGTCAAGATAAGCATTATGAAAAAGTGGGTTGCCTCTGAGTTATCCATGTATGGAATGTAGTGGAGTGTGTGTTTTGTCTGATATTCAATGTGCAGCAAAGAATGAGGCTATGCATCAAAGTGACAGCAGTACACTGGGGTTCTAGTTAGTTGTGTACCTTCTCTAGAACAAAGCACGGCAAAATGGAGTCAGGCAGTTCGGCAGCAGAAGTAACATGTCAGACATGAAGATGAGACATAGCAATCCAGCTCCCACATCTGGAGGCAGCATCATCAGAACAGACTGCTAGTGGTAAAAAGTGTCCTCCTCTGGATAGCAGTAGGCACTTATTGAGAATATGTATGTCATTAGATTAAACATTTCGGTAACACTTCATTTGACGGGTTGTGAATAAGATTGTCATGACACCATCATAAACATGACATAACATCTGTGGTGAACATGAATAAGTCTTCATGAATATTTATGACTGTTTCATAAAGTGTCATTCAGTAAATTATCACATTTTAACACAAAGTTGACGTTATTCAAAATGTCTTCGTCAGGACAGCATGACAACCTCTGAAGAAGTCTTAAGCCTAAATCCTTACTTATGAAATGTAAAACAAAAAATTTAAAAAAATGAAGTGGTTTGAGAGTTTAGAAGCTGTAGAATTTTTCTTGTGCAAATGTGTCAAACAAACATTATAGTCTCTGGTCAGCTTGTTTTCAAACCACATCAGAGTGCTCTGTGATCTAAGTTACCATCATAGAAACAAATGCTCACAGTTACAATAACCCCCAGCACCGGTTCTCTGAAATGAGTAAACACGATGAAATCAGTGAGAGAGAGATCAAATGAACGAGTGTTAAATGGAGTGAAAATATTCGACCATCTGCCAACAGGCACAAAAAAGAGCCTCCATCTTTTCCACTAAGCGTCAGTAAAGTGTCGTATTTAATGGGCTGAATCAGCAACAGCATCAACCTGCTCAACCAGAGGAGTTGCCAGCAAATGGCTTTAAAGCTCCAGAATCATTCTTGGCACATTTAAATGTTGGACCGCGGCGTATCACAGTCATCCGCTGTGTGATTGTACTCCTGCTGGAACACCTCGACTGTACAAACACAAGAAATCACTTGTTGGGTTCTGTGGAGACGTTTTGAACAGCACCATCAAACTGTCACACCAAAGAGTGTTGTAGTGGATAAACAATAGAGGAAAGACGTTGTGGTAGATGTAGCAATACCAAGTGATTGCAACATCAGGAAAAAAGAGCACGAGAAACTGGAGAAATACCAGGGCTTCAGGAAGGAACTGGAGAGGGCCTGGAAGGTGAAGACCACAGTGGTACCTGAGGTCATCGGCGCCCTCGGGGCAGTAACCCCCAAACTGGAGCAATGGCTACAACAGATCCCAGGAACAACATCAGACATCTCAGTCCAGAAATGTGCAGCCTGCACAACCAAGATACTGCGCAAAACCCTCAAGCTCCCAGGCCTCTGGTAGAGGACCCGAGCTCAGAGGATAAGAACCACCCGCGGTGGGTGAGAAAGGAATTTTTATTTTTTAAAACCTTGTTGTTATATCTATATGACTGGAGGTGAACTTATTGCCATCATAGAAACAAATGTGGGACAGAGCTCAGTCGTCTCTTACTGTCAGAGTTACACAGAGAAGGACGTCCAGCTCCTGATTGCATGGCATTCCTCGCTCCTGTCAGCCTAAGGCTACAGCGTAGCTTACCACCATCAGTATGTGAATGGGTGAATGACTGTGAAGCACTTTGGGGTCACATGGACTAGATGAAGTGATATAGAAGTACAGGACAATTACCATTTATCATTTAGCATTCTCCTTGCACATATTTCTGGATCAGCCAGACTTCTGGCTCCTCTCTAGCTCCCTCACAGATTTGTGAATGTGGAATTGAACTGAACTGCTCCAAGTAAAGTCAAAGTAAAAGGTTCTCTCAAGTTCTGAATTTGTAATTTTTAAGTTCAATCAACACAAGTAAGTTGTCATCACTAACCCAAATGGATTTATGTAAATAAGTCCATAGAATGAACTGTAATCCAAATGCACGTTGTAAAGTGCAGAGCCAGGAGACATGTCTTAGTGCTGTGAATCAACTCATCCTTACTGTTGTCATCAGTGGGCATGCTAACTAGTCTTAGTATTCAAAACAGGGTCTGCTGACAGGGAGACGCTCTAATGTAGTAGAGAGCAGAGGTGGAGGGTTGAGGGAGCAGTTCACACAAATGTTTGCTCAACTTCCTTTCATCCTCACTGAAGAATGGATAAGAGAAATGTTGCTATGTGTTACATTCCTGTCTTCTATAGATTATAAAAAGAGGTGCATATATTTAAATAATTAGTGGTACAGATAAAATATGCCAACAGGGTTATTTTAAAAACTACTGTCTCTTGGGAATAAAAGTGCTGGTTACACTCCCACAATACGAGATGAACTATCTCTTCCATATTTGTACCCAGTGTGCTAACAATGCTAACATGAGCTTTCAGCTTTAGCTAAACTTAATTATGAGAGGCAAACGCTCCCCAATTCTGGGTTTGTGTGCATCACTTTACCTCTGATATATGAGGATGTCAGTGAGTCAGGCTCCTTCGTCTGACTGGGCCTAATGTAATATAAAGGAGCACTTCAGCAGCAGTCAGAGTGAGGTCATCCTGCCGGGTGTTGGATTACAGCCGATCTGCTAACAAACTACAGTCAATGGGGCAGGAAAATGGCTTTGTGCCATTTCCACTGGGTTTCACCCAGGACCAACCAGTTCAGGCGCAGATCTCAGATCAGTTTGAGTGGAGCTGCAGTGACACTCGCATGCTTTCACCCCTCTGCTGATGGCCGTTAATTATAGCAGCAGGGATTGGTAGGCTACATCCCCCATGTTAATTTGGTCAGGCAGCAGAGACACTAATAGCTTTTATGCAGCTGATTAGTAAACAACAGCACATCTGTGTGACATTAATGCTCCTCCTGGTGCTTCTGCTCAGGTTGGTGCAGGCCTGTGCCTGAACTGAACATCATCAGTCTGCCTCCTTTAGGCTCAGAGGCTGGAAGGGGAAGGTTAAGTAAAGGAGTTCAGCTAAAATGGACGAAAAGGTTAAATAGATTACATTCCATGTTTGTATACAGAATGCTTTTCAGTGTTCTATTAAAAAGTTACCTTCATGTTTTACTAAAATATGAATTTCTAAGTGTTATTAGAGGGGGTGGTAAGTATTCGCAGATTTTAGCTAGCTGTAGGCAGCTACCACCAAGAGTACCAGAGGTATCGAACCCAGGACCTTCTTACAGCAAAGCAGCAGTGCTACCACTGCACCTACCAGACATCTACTTTCTATATTAATATTAAACAGGTCAGAAAATCACACCAAGTGCTCCTGACCTGCACCGCTTTAGGATATGAAACCTTTGCAGAGTGCTGCCACCACAAACCCTGATTATGTCCCTCCTGAAGTGATGGACAGAGGAAGCATCTATATTTGAGGCTTACCTAACACCACGCTTCACAGAACAGCAGAGAGGAAGTGATGGACTACTGTAACCATCCTCATAATGATACGTGTGGTTCCAATTCACAACATGTCATGTCTGCATAAAGTCATGAACCCTATCAACACGTTGGAAACTCCGTGGCAGGAGTCTCACTATTAGGTAACAGAGTTGATGGGTGTGAATACCTCGCTCGGCTCTCCTGCAGTAATCCCACATCATCCATGTGACTCGCACGGCTGCTGGCAGCAGGAGAAACACACAGAGCTTCTGTAAATCTGTGGCGTTGAAACTTATGAGCTACTGGATGACAGATGGAGTCTGAACTGTCACCTCCCTGCATGACAGAACATCCTAACACCCCCTCCACCACCAAGATGCCTGGTTCACCACATTACCGCTTCTTCCCACCTGTTAATTTATGTTGGCTGGGTCCTGCAGTCATGCAAACACAAGGAGTGTCAGTGACTCAGAGCGCTGCACGGTCATACAGGACAGGCTCATAGCTTCACCAGCACAGACTGCCATCCCTGTGTCATCTAATGGAAGTCAAAATTAACTAATCACTGTTTTAAGATGACAGAATAGTAACTTTCTGCTTTTGGAACATTTGCTGCTGATGTATTCAAACAGTGGAGTGAGCTAAGTCATACTCCTGCCATAGTTTACCTGCTATATGTATGGCTGGTGTCCTGCTGATTATTTAGCAAGAGGTTTGTGTACTTTCAGTGATGTTCTAATTATTATTACACACCCATATGTTGACTGTTGCTATGGTTTCACATTTATTGTTTTTGTTCCTCTCCAGATGTAGAAGTACAGGTATACTGACAGAAAAATGAAATCTTAATCTGTTGGTGCTGCAGTTTTTCTTGGTATTTGCAGATCTTCTCCATCCAGTCTGACTGAGCTTGACTGTTTTATAAGACAAACAAACAACAATTTCAGTCTGAAGATTTTCACAGCTGCCAGAGACAAACCCCAAAAGGTGATTCCGCAAAGTGTTAAACATGAAAGAGCTGAATGCAGACACACACCACACTTTTCAAATCTTAATTTGTTCAGGTTTGGAAAACCATTTAACATTCCTGTAACCTTAAGTTAATGTGTACATTCCTGTTGGGACCGGCAGCCTGTGAGTTGTTTACTTCTCTCTCAGAGACCCAACACACTGTCCCAGTGGCTAGAGGACTGTGTCACAGGATTGTCATCAAGACCAGCAGCATGAAACAAGAACCACGGAACTGAGAAGCTTCCAAGAACTAATCACATGATAAAGTATTCCAACCCTCAAGAAAAAGTTGTAAAACTAAATGAACAATGAAAACAAAGGTAGATCTCTACCAATCCTGGTAGGAATTGGAGGTTGTGTTCACTAAACCCAGATTGATCACTGACTTAGAGAAACAAACTGTTCAGGGTCAACAATAAAAAATCCAGTCTCTAGAAGAAACTGGATTTTTTTCATTCCCAAGAGACATGTTACCTTCACGTTGTCTGGGTGGAGACCCCCTGGATGTCTGTCCATGTACTGACACAGGTCTGTGTGCTGCAACATGAAAGACAAAAGCAGTTATCAGTTTTATTTCAATCAATTTTACAAAATGCTTTGTTTACTACAGTTGACTTGTCTTGTACTACAGTTGAAATCAGAGCTCACAAAAGCAGCAGGAAGTTCTGACTGATCAACAGATTGATCTACATGTTATTTTAACAGCAGTGATCAATGAATTGCAGTTTTTATATGTCTAACAGAGGCACTCAGATAAGAATTTGATTCCTGTTGATCTCCGAGCAAAGACACTCAATACAGTTTTAATATCTGCTTTTCTTCTCTTTTCAGGGGACCACAAAACAGGAAGAGTGTTTGCATTTTGTCAAAGTTGACCACATGAACCGACAGAGTCCTCACTAACGGTAAAGCGGACATGTTTGGCAGGCAGGCAGCGTTTTGGTGCTTTGTGAGCAGATTTATGGATGGAGGAGGCAGTGGTTCGGAAATCACAGAGATATTTACAATCTCCCACTGCTGCTCACACCAAAGGAGCCTGCTGAATAATTCACATGCAGACATGCCTGTCCATCTCCCACAAAGCCATGCACCACATCTGTTTTCATCTTTCCCCTTTTTATTTCCATTATCTCCATCTCTCTGTAATACTTGCCACTGATTTAACCCATCGGTTTTCTGTTCTCGCACTATGCCCTGCCGTCACTCTCCATTAGCTTTTAGAAAAATCTATAATGTGTTTTTCTGCATCCTTATGAACAACAGCACCGAACTTGACATTAACTTGAGGTTTCCACCAGCGATGAATAAACCTACACCTAACTGTCAGTCTGCTACATATGGAAAGGATTTACTGTTTTGAGCAGAAGACAAGAGAATATCCAGCAGGAATATTAACCTAATAAGCTGATCTTTTCCATCATGTTTAATTTAAACAGAATCTGCTGAGTTCTACTCATATCTCACACGCAGAACCAGATTATAAACTGCAGCAGACCACTCCATTTACCCCACCCTGGCTGAAAAGCTGAGTAAGATGAAGGAGGGATCCAGATCCGCTCATCCACTCACAAGCTGAAGATCAAAGATTCATCTGAATAGAAATGCAGCCCTGCAATGGAGCGGTGACCTGCATAGGATGGACCCCACCTCACCTCCCACCCTGTGGCCGCTAAAGAGAGGAACATCCCCCCACCCTCCACAACAACACACACACCTTTATTACTTTAGCAAAAACTAAAAGAAATCCATGAGCTTTAACAGTTTCTAAAGGCCTGTGAACCGAGTAAGAGTTTACCAGTTAAAATATTCACACGTCGTGTTCCAGAGAACTGGGTATGAAAAACAGAAAGGTCTCACAGAGCAAAAAATAAATATAAATACTCTTCAGAACTATGGTTTCCCTGAAGTCAGACTTTTAATCTACATTTGGAGTTCTGTGGTCCACCCATCTCACAGCTCAGGTCAGAGTTTAAACTCACCACATACTCGAACACCAGAGTCAGGGTTTCCTTGGTGTGGATGATGTCATGGAGGAGCACGATGTTGGCATGCTTCAATCCTTTCAGAAGAGATGCTGTAAACAGAGAGCAGCAGAACCAGAGACACATTACGATGTGTTACAGTAGATGATGCATCCAGATAACCAGCTGCTCTAGGATCATTAGCTGGACTGTTGGAGTGCTTCAGTACCTGCAGGGATTAGAGAAGGATTACAACACACACAGAAAACACAGGCTGGATTCAGCTTCAGAGGTTCTCACACTCACTTTTTAACACATTTATGATGTAAGAGGTGTTTGTAGTCAGCAGTGAGGAGAGGCTCTGGAGGGATACCTCATTTCCCAACTGGGTTTAAGCTTCATACAAGTAAGTTGAACATGGAAATGTTTTTCTCAGTCAGATATTTGTAACGTCATAAAGTTGACATAAAACCCCAGTAATCCTTCTGCCAGCATATTATTAAATTGATGAAGGCAGAGATCATCTGGAGCCAAAGTGACTTGGATCATACCAGACAGGACTTTAGCAGTTATTTTTGATGTTTAGTTTTTCTTTTGCTATTTAAGTGAAATACAATGACAATGAACATATCTGTACATTTGTTTTACTACCAGAAGTTATTTAATTTCTTTGGGAGCAGCTTTTCTGTGTTTAGGTGAATATAGAGAATGTTCTACTGGCAGCAGAACAGAAAACTGACAACATAAAACAAACGTTCATAAGAAACATGGCCACCTAATTATCCTCATTACCCTACTAATCGACTGAATAAAGTTTACCTTCCTTTTCCTTCAACATTAATTTCTTCCACCCAAAGGACGTAGTTTAACTTTGACTTTCACTCCCAGGACCACAGGTCTATAAAATGCACTTTCTTCTGTCATTATCTCTAGACCTCCAAACTCAATTTATTTTTAGCCTAGTTACTAGTGTACATTTCTAAGTTATAAATCTTACACATAGGAGCTTGTTTTCAGTCAATAATTTCTTACTATTGATTCAAACATACTAGTTCAACTGGCAGATTGGGTCACTTATAGCTGAAAAATCTCTTAAATCATCTGAAAAATCTTCAAAAATTATCTAAAGATAATTTCACTTCAGATAAGTGAAATTATCTGTCAATGGCATATGTACTTCATCAATATTGAGGATTTTCTAACTTACAGAAAGCTCTTAAAGAGTTTCTTAGAAGTTTGTTTTCTTATTTCAAGTCTTCTAAAATATTTGCACTGGAAACTAGACTAATAATACCTGTTAGGTTTTTCATTTCTGCAGTGCAAACTTATTAAAAGCAACAATAAAATTTGTGAAACTTAATGTCGCTCAAACTTGTGTGGATAAAGGCAGAAAAGGGAAAATTATAACATCATATTTTATAGTGCTGTCTTGATTCTGTCTATTTCTGTTTGCTGATTTAGAGAGAAACAAGAGAAGCATGTGTTGTTTTGTCTCTACAGTCTTAACTGGTCTGAGGTCAGTGATTACTGATCTCTGATCATCTATTTGAAGTGGCAAAGGATCAATGAAATGAGAAGTTTTCACTCATTTCCTTTTTTTCAAAGCCTCTACTGTATTGACTGAAGGTTTTGATGCCTCAGTTACTGAGAAACAGTTCAGTCAAACAAGAGTAAAAGGAATTTGTTTTATTTGGACCAAATATTAGAGCAACATAAGCTTGGTTTATATTCACAGTACTAAGTGGTTTTTCAGTCGGTTACCAACGGGATTAATGTTTAAGTTCTGTTTCAAAGGCACAGTGAGGCTTTGATGGACAGATCATTGGAAAGTTGCCTGGTGCCAGAGCCTCATGAATGCATTCATTCTGCATGAAGCTAAAGGTTGTTCAAAATAATAGAAGCAGATCAAAGACAGGAAGGACTATGTGTGGATCTACAGCCTGATACCTCCAGGATCCTGTCACCAGCTTGTGGAGACATACACAACCCCCATGGATACATGGAGACACACACACACACGCACATCCATGCACACACACACATACATGGATGGAGTAGTTTACAGAGGGGTAATTCTGGTCACATATCTGCACTGTGCGCCTCTTACTCAGAAAGTGCTGAATTAGTCCAATTTCAAAGCACCCATCTGATCTGTTCTCAGGGAGAGTTGAGCCTCTGTGTGATAGAAGTGTCTTCTCATCTCAGGTTAATTTCCATACGAGAGGGTCGTGTGGAGCAAAGGCCTTTACTTTCAGCAAAGTCAGGAAAGTCAGAAACTTCTGGGGCTTTTTAAAAATTTTTTTTACAGATTCTAATTACTGAGAACCTTCTGAACTAATCAGCCCTTTTCTAATGTGCGTATCCAGTCTAAAACTGACCACTGACATGGACTACACCGGCTGAAGCTGAGAGGTCCCTCCTCCTCCAGAACATCCATTGCTGTGGTAGAGTTCAGGATGTGAATTAAACAGAAGCTTCAAAGCAGTTGTTGGCTTTAAAACCAAACGCTGTCATTCTGGAACTTGTGTGAGTATGTAACTGGAGCAGACTGGAAATAAAGATGACACGCAGCCCATACATGTCACTATTGAACGCAAGTGTGACACGAGGACATATTAGTTACTAGAATAAAAAATAATGTAGTTAAAACTACTGTGCTGAACTTTACTATGCTGCATTGTGACATCTTACTACCCCAAATCAGTAAGATGTAACCCCAAAATATAAAAGTTAAAAAGGCGGCTTCATGACTCAGAGTAGAACCAAAGAGCAACAAGAGAAAGACGAAGTTCAAATGATCTTTTCTGTTGATCAAAACGGGTAATGATCATATCCATCCCTAATCCTGACCTCCTGTCTGGTCAGCCACACAGAGACTTAAACTGAAGCAGTGAATTATTTATTAGGGATGTCCTAACTGTTTTTTTGCCTCCAAATCAGAGCCATTTGACTTGAGCATCGGCATCTTGCATATTTGCTCAAGTGATTCAAAACTAGCAAGGTAAAAGTGATTTTAAAAATACTTGCAACTACTGAAACATTTGCTAAATTAACTCCACCACCTCCAGCTCAGGGCACTAAACGGGTTTAGTTTTATCTTTTTGCGATGCATCGCTGTCTCCCAGAAAAACTCAAATCAACACAGAGAAAAACCCAAATTCTTACATTTATGCTTATAGAGAATGAAAATCCACACAATTCAAGTTAAACATCAAAGATTGTCATTAAATATTGTAAACTAGTAAACTTCACATTTTTCTGACTTTGTTACCAGCTGAAGAGGGATGGAAGAACATTTCCCTTACACTACTATGAGCAGGAACTGAACTGAGATTCAGATTTTTTTCCCCACTTACCCTCCCTTATTGCTGTGAAGGGTGTTCCTTCCTCCTCCTGCAGACGGATCACTTTCAGAGCCACCAGCTTCCCATTCACCCTGATGACAGCACAAAGAACAAAGTCCCATAATATGCTGGACTTTCTTCATTATGTAGAAAAACGAGACATTTCAAAGTCAGCAAATCCTGAGAACAGAGAGAGGAGAGTTCAGTCAATGAAAAGTAATTTAGCAGCACTGGAGTGAGACTTAGGTACAGCACTACAATTGAATGAAACTCACCAATCAAAAGAGACACGAAATAACATCATCAGGAAAAAGATTAGAGGCTGCAGAGGTTTGTGCATTTACAGCACCGGAACTTTTCATTTCTCGCAATCTAATTAGAAAAACCTGGGAGAAAAGCACTGAACCATTAAGAGAGGGAAAAAAAATGTCTATTCTCTGGTAATTAAAATACAGGAATTGGCATTGTATGTTTGGAATTTTACATTAAAACCAGGATTTGCAATTGTGATAAGCTTTTCATCGACTTTTGATTCAGTTACAGCAGTGGCATTCAATTATTAAACACATCATTGAATACATGGGTGAAGGAAAAACAGGAGAAACGTGAACACTGCTTACTTGCTCTTTCCCTTGTAAACTGTTGCATATGAGCCTTCTCCCAGCTTCTCCAGCTTCTCATATGAGTCTGCCTTTCCAAACTTGGGGCTTGTGGGCTGAGTGAAAAAGGGATACATAGAAAATATATGAATTCAGGAAAGAAAAGAAAAGACACCTCTGGAATTAAACAAAAACAACTCTCAGTGTTTTTTGAATCCATTGAGAATCTAAAGGTTTCACACTGCATCATCAGGAAGGCGTCACTGGGAGGAGAAGTCTACTTAGCACACTGTCTGAGAAGAGCCCTTTTTAAAGTTCCAATGAGCCTGTAACTTTCAGACACATTTCACTGATTGCTGCTGAGAACTACAGCTGTACAACAATAAGAACTTGAGATGAACAGCTTGAAATCTATCTGGTAAAAATCAGACACAAGCAGAATCTAAACGTTAACTCATTACTCATTGAAACCAGTTAATCACCAAATGAGCCTCCAGAAGGAATGGTTAGACTTATGCGTGAAGATCTATGGGACCCCCTACTGGATAATACTGGATATGAGTGGCACTTTGTTTTTCTTTTTGAATTAGCTCGCAAAAGTATTGCACAAATATCGTTGCACTCTTGCAATAAATCACATTTCAGCAAAACAGCAGTTCAAAGTGCTTTAGATCGTGAAAATATTTTAAAAAATCATAAACACATCATATAGTCAACAGTTGTGAAAACCAGCGACAGACATTACATTTCGCCAACTGTCATCTTCAAAATCATTAATGCTCATCAGATGTGTTGGTCACTGTCACTTTTGTTGTGCTATTAAATTTATAGGTAGTATTGTGTGTCAGGGCTCTTTGAATCACTATTATTAATTTCAGAGAACTGAGTTGATTAGTTTGTTTGGTCAGCTCAATTAAAGGAAATCTACTGAGGAAGGATGTTCCACATTATTAAGCAGGCCACAGGTTTCAAACAATACGGGAAAGAGAAAGGATCTCTCTGCTGACGAAAATCAGACAGTGTAGTGCTGTATGACAAGGTATGGTTCGAAAAGAAGAGCTGTACCTTCCGTAGCAAAATCATCTTCATGCATGACAATGCACCATCTCATGCTGCAAGGAATACCACTGTGTCATTGGCTTCTATGGGCATAAAAAGGGCATAAAACATCCTAATTTGGTCTGTTAAGATGTTTTTTATTTGAAATAGCTTTTGATTGTAGTATGTGATTACTTAATGCTGCACATTCAAAGAATGACCGTTTGCAGTTCTTTATAATCCATAAAATGTTTACAAAATTTGCTGTGCATAATAAGTTGGAACAGTGCATTTTAAGTTTTTTATTTTTGAAAAAAATACTGTTCGCATGGGGAGATTTGTTCAGTAAAAATTCAATTTATACAGTTAGGGCCAGAAATATTTGGACAGTAACAGAATATTTGTGAGTTGGGCTCTGCATGCCACCGCATTGGATTTGAAATGAAACCTCTATAACAGAATTCAAGTGCAGATTGTAACGTTTAATTTAAAGGGTTGAACAAAAATATATGATAGAAAATGTAGGAATTGTACACATTTGTTTACAAACACTCCACATTTTAGGAGCTCAAAAGTAATTGGACATATAAACATAACCCAAACAAAAAAGTTTTTCTCAATATTTTGTTGCGAATCCTTTGGAGGCAATCACTGCCTTAAGTCTGGAACCCATGGACATCACCAAACGCTGGGTTTCCTCCTTCTTAATGCTTTGCCAGGCCTTTACAGCCGCAGCCTTCAGGTCTTGCTTGTTAGTGGGTCTTTCCGTCTGAAGTCTGGATTTGAGCAAGTGAAATGCATGCTCAATTGGGTTAAGATCTGGTGATTGACTTGGCCATTGCAGAATATTCCACCTTTTTGCTCTCATGAACTCCTGGGTAGCTTTGGCTGTATGCTTGGGGTCATTATCCATCTGTACTGTGAAGCGCCGTCCGATCAACTTTGCAGCATTTGGCTGAATCTGGGCTGACAGTACATCCCGGTACACTTCAGAATTCATCCGGCTACTCTTGTCTGCTGTTATGTCATCAATAAACACAAGTGACCCAGTGCCATTGAAAGCCATGCATGCCCATGCCATCACGTTGCCTCCACCATGTTTTACAGAGGATGTGGTGTGCCTTGGATCATGTGCCGTTCCCTTTCTTCTCCAAACTTTTTTCTTCCCATCATTCTGGTACAGGTTGATCTTTGTCTCATCTGTCCATAGAATACTTTTCCAGAACTGGGCTGGCTTCTTGAGGTGTTTTTGGGCAAATTTAACTCTGGCCTGTCTATTTTTGGAATTGATGAATGGTTTGCATCTACATGTGAACCCTTTGTATTTGCTTTCATGGAGTCTTCTCTTTACTGTTGACTTAGAGACAGATACACCTACTTCTCTGAGAGTGTTCTGGACCTCAGTTGATGTTGTGAACGGGTTCTTCTTCACCAAAGAAAGTATGCGGCGATCATCCACCACCGTTGTCTTCCGTGGACGCCCAGGCCTTTTTGAGTTCCCAAGCTCACCAGTCAATTCCTTTTTCCTCAGAATGTACCAGACTGTTGATTTTGCTACTCCAAGCATGTCTGCTATCTCTCTGATGGATTTTTCCTTTTTTTCAGTCTCAGGATGTTCTGCTTCACCTCAATTGAGAGCTCCTTTGACCGCATGTTGTCTGGTCACAGCAACAGCTTCCAAATGCAAAACCACACACCTGGAAACAACCCCAGACCTTTTAACTACTTACTTGATTACAGGTTAACGAGGGAAAGGCCTTTTGAGTTACTTGCAGCCTTTAGAGTCCATTGTCCAATTACTTTTGGTCCCTTGAAAAAGAGGAGGCTCTGCATTACAGAGCTATGATTCCTAAACCCTTTCTCCGATTTGGATGTGGAAACTCTCATATTGCAGCCCATATTATATATAAATTGTATTTCTGAACATATTTTTGTCAACAGCTAAAATAACAAAACCTGTGTCACTGTCCAAATATTTCTGGCCCTAACTGTACTGTAATAATCCGTGACTTGAAATTTATACTGACCATCATTTGCATTGACCATTTCGGAAAATCTGAGAAAATATCACTTGCATAATAATTTGGAACACAGTGTATGTGCTCAGCATAATGTCTCTTCCATCCACATCCATAGCTGGGCTGCAGGCGCTACGTCCTCAACAGACACCCCCCAACCTTATGCTTCCCACCCCCTTGTTATCTCTCTGCTTTCTGCAGCGCTAATAAGCTCAGCATTTCTCAGAGCTTTTCTAAACAAATTACGTTTTCTCCAGGGATCAAGCAGGAAGTGAAACTCTGTCTGTACACTAAACTCAAAAAGTAGGATGTGCACAACCAGCTAACCTCTCCTATACTTCAGACTAACTATAAAGTGTTCCCTTTTTTATTCCAAAATGTAGTGAAGACTGATCCTGAATTTGAAGAAGGCAAATCTGCTTTTCTAGCTCAAAACAAACTAAATATTACTGAAACAGAAAATTATACACTGAATAATAATTCTTGCTCAACAAAATTCCATATAATCCCAAAGGTCAAACTAAGTAAAAGTACAACGTTAGCTTCCGATAGATTTTTTAAGGTTTTCAAGTTGACTGGAACAAAATGAACAGTTGAAACCAAAGATCCAGCAAGAAACAATAAAAATTTATCCTGTTTCGTTCAAGTACATTTGTTATTAATATTATGTTCTTTGCTTATTTTGCCATTTTTGATGAGTTTGTTGACAATTTTTTGCATTTCTTGCTCCACCTTGTGGAAAACAGTTCTGTGTTAAACTTGATTGTGTTGGAAGTGCCCCATAAATACATTCTGACCAACTGGTAACAATTTTACTGAAGTTCCAAATTGTGAAATGTTGACTGAAATTCAAGCATGTTGAACTTCTTGAACAGAGCACAGGTGAAGGGCACAATTTGCCGATTTTCATAATCTGGCTAAAACAACTCGCTTGTGTCTTACAGCGACTCTGGCAGAAAATCAATCAACCTTCATGTTTGTCCTATTAAGTCTTGTTTGTATTCATATTTATTAGGTCATTCATACTGGGAGCTAAATTAAAACAGGAACCCTATATGAAAATCTCATTTGTATGATTAGGAAATGCACGTTTGTTTCAGTTAAGCTCAGGAGGAAAACAGCATGCTGTAAATTGGTTATAGATAAAAGAATAACAAATCAGCTAAAGCTAAGAGAAATCAAAACTGGTGATCAGATTCAAATCAAAACCAACACAGATTCAGAATATGTAATTCAGATTGATGTTTGTAATTATATAAGTAAATGGACCTTTAAATAAAACAGTGATATTTTATGGATCCTTAAGATTTATACTATTTGACTATAAAGGATTTGGCTTACATAACATACATCTTTCTTAAGAATATGTAATTATAGCATTATTTACAGGTAAATGTGATCATTTTATGACAGAGATGAAAATCTTTTTGTCCAGTTTTCATAAAGCTGATTATAATTATAGCTAATTTCAATTTCTCTTCAAAAACTAAGATGTACAAAAATAAGAGCTAATATCATAAAAACTATATCACCCAAAGTTGTAATAGCTATTTAACTTGATATATTACAAAAACACTACACTCTTTGTGTATAACCCATATGATGTAATTTTCAATAACTTTGTTTCCCTCTGATTTCATCCAACCTCACTAATAATGAAAACTTATGCTCCTGTTCTGAGAAGTGCACCCGCATCGAAAATAACAGTCAAATTTCTAGATGTAAATGTAATTTATCAGTAAAGTTTTTTGTGTGTAATTTTTCAGACTTTCCTGTTTACTCCTGTTAGTGAAATAAGTGAATGCTGATTACACAATCCAGGTGGAGCCAATATAACAACAAACTTGTCAGTCCACCTTCACCATGAAAAAGGTTGACTGACAAAACTTCAAAGCTCCACAGTAAAACTCTCATCCCATTTTAAATAGAACACAATTGTCCAGCACTCATAACCAACACATTTTTATAGTAAACACCAACTTTCAGCAATCACTTGATAGAAACATGGGCTTCCCGCTGCTCTTCAAAGCTGCGGTGAACTTCACGTTAAGAGCTGACAAAGCCTGGAAAGCTCATATATTACAATTCTCTTTGACATGTTACAAGTATAGTTAAGAAATAGCCTGTTCAGATAAACCTTGTCTGTAATGCTAAAGTCCACGGAGTCCAGGTGGTGCATGTCAGTGTACTTTGGGAGGAACATGTTTGCCTTTCTTCATTCTTTAAACCACAAAACTGAAGACATGTTCCCTAATCATCCAACTTGAAAGCCTGTGCCTGCTGAGCCATCATCACACACTCCCCACAGAGTAATAATCAAGTCAGAGTGTGTCCACATCTTGGCATACACCTGTTATACCTGCAATCACAACATGTTGGCTTTCTCCTGCAAAGAATGCAGCGCTCACAGAAAGGGTTTGAAAACGTTAAGTAATAATAATCATGCTTAAAAACCAAGTCTTCATAGGCTGCGCTTCACTCAAGATTTCTGATTTTTGTTCAGATTTTAAATCCATTGTTTTATAATTGATGTGTTTTAAGGCAACGTTTCAAACACTATATGAAGGAAAAGTCTAAAGAAATCAGCCAAGATACTGAGAAGGGAATTGTTGTCCTCCAAAACTCTAAAATATGAAATGATGCAGGACAACCTGATCTTCTCCACCATCCCGTAGCTCTCTGCACCGTGCTTTCTTAAATAAAATGAAACGCCAAACTGATCTTCTTTCAATTCAACCTCTGCAAGTAAAAAATAAATAAATTAAACCTCGTAATGTAGCAGAGTGACTCTATTTAGTGTAATTAGGATATATTTGAGATGAATATTTTCCTGCATTAAAAACAAAACGTGATCAGCGTTAAGTAATAACGCAGACGATGATGCTGAAGCCACTGTACGTCCCGAGCCAAACAGGAGAGAACACAGTCTGGAAAGATGGCATGGCACTATCAGGCAAGAAGTTAAAAATGGACGCAAAGTCGTCTTCCAAATGACAACAACCCTTTGGAAATCAAATCACCAAATTAGGTACAAAATGTCCTGAAGACAACAAACTCAATGTTCTGGAGTGACCATCAGAAAATCTTGTTCTCACTTCCATAGAAGAGTGTGTGTGAGCGAGGAGACCAACAAACCTCACTCACTTACACCAGTTCTGTCAGGAGAAACTGAGGAAATGGTTGGAAACCTCAGAGATTTCAAGAAAGTTCAAATGATTCTCTGAAATGTTTTGGGAGCTCTAAGTGACATAAACAGGAAATGAACCCTTATGTGTCTTCTTTTGCTGTTTATGTAAACGTCTGGCTTTAACGGTGTGCAAATCATATACAAGTACTTGAGTGAATATGAAGGAGTTCATATTGCTTTGCTCGTTGCAGTTGTGCAAGATGGGACTGAGAGTCCAGCAGAGGAGCATGGTGATAATTGTACTATATTTAAATAGTTTGTTGAAGGGCAAATACAAAATGACTAATTGTGAACAAAGAAAAAAGCCTCCCAAAAGCAAAAAGCTGTGTTTCCATGGCAACACCTACATTACCGTTGACTGCTCTCTCGCCCATTGTTGATCAAACAGAAGTGACTGCTCATCGGCAGCATTCCAGATGGTGTTCTCTCTTTCCTCTTGTTCCTGCTAGGATGGTGGGAGTTGTGGACCTGGCAGCAGAGTATGATCACTTCTTGTTTTTAATGTAGGGAAATATTCATCTCAAATATATCCTAATTACATGAAATAGAGTCACTGCTACATTACGAGGTTTTATTATTATTTTATTTGTTTGCAAAGGTTGAATTGAAAGACGATCTGTTTGGCATTTCATTTTATTTAAGGAAGCACGGTGCAGAGAGCTCACTTTATAAAACTAAAAGGGGGCAAAATAAATTACTCACCAAGGCTGAAAATAAGTTTCAGTGCAGGTAAGACAGGAACAGTGTTTTGTTATATGGCCATTCAACCCTCTTCTATTGAGGTCCACATTCAAAGCAGATAGAAAACTAAATGCAACCTGGACTTGAGTGGTTCAATTTTCAGAACAATAAAAATGACTGGGCATTTATTGGGTTGTAGAGCTATTCAAACATGAACTAAAGTACAAACATAGAACAATACCAGACTCTACAGGTCTCAGTTAGTGTGGTAAATGTGAAAGTTTATGACAGGACAATTAGGAAAAACAAAACATGGAAGAGCTGACAAGAGAAAGCACTCTTTCTAAAAACAAAGCAGCATGAGTCATGGTGCATTCACACCATCCCTGTTTAGTATGTTTTAATCAAACTCTGGCTTGTTTGCCCAGAAAGTCCAGTTAGTTTGGGGAGGTGTGAATGCTCAATCAAACTCTGATGTGGAAAAAAAAAAAGGTAAATTGTGGTCCACCAACAATCCTAAGTCTGGGTTCAGTTGAAGTAAACTACTCCAAAAACAAGAAGCTAAATACAACACACGGTATTCTGGGTAAATACAACCAAAACAAACATGTGAGTCAAGCAGCAGATGAGTAAAATCCTACAACCGCTAAAATCTGACGTCGCTCCATAATTGCATTTCAGTATCTTCATTAGACAGGCAAGCGGTAAACAGAGTTTTCAAAAGATTTGGTTCATTTGACACATTGCAGTGTGAAAGAGAACCGCAGCAGCACGAAATGGAACAAATGTTTTGGTCCCAACTTGAACCAAGTCCACTTTATTATTAGAGGTGAAAATGCCCTTACAGAGGAGCGGCAACAGCAAAGGACTGGACTAGCAGAGCTTGCCAATGGCTGAGGTGTCATCCGGGAAATGATACTGTGGAATATTGCCTCGACTGCCCAGATATTGAGCAACTTAACAGCAGCCCTTAGTCAGAGACTTCTTCTATAGTGTAACTATACTACTTGGTACCACAGTTCATTCCTGCCCACAGCATCATCCTCAACAACTCTTTGAAGATAATGGAAAAGTAAGAGGGATGATGTTTAATTTCCCTTTGGGATAAATTAAGTATTTTTGAACTGATTACTACCTGTGAAGGCATTTATTTGGAAATGGTTTAAGACCCATCAGCGTTTCAACACATCTGTGAAGCAACAGCATAAATATGTGAAACATACAGTTTCACATATTCCTGTTCAAATAAAGTAAAGCATATTTTTCATTTTATGGTCATTCACTTGGTCATAATACAGCATTTCTAACAACAAGTAGCCCATAACAATAGCACCATCTTCTCATAAAAACATGGATCATAACAAAGTAGAAGTACACTTACAGAACTTGGGCTAGAGTGCCTGCGCAGTTTGGGCGACTCTTTCCCAGTAGATGAGCTCTTGGCGGTAATGCAGGCATTGTTTTCCGAGTGGACCCTCTTGACCTGGCTGGCAGGCTTCTCAAACGGGTCGAAGCCGCTCTGCGTGCGCTGAACTCTCACCTTCTTGTCCTCAGGGATGGTGTCCAGGGGCTTGATGACCGAGTCTGTTCCCTGGCAGCCGCGTGTGGACATCTTTGTGACACATATCTGTCAAAATAGGGACGTGGAAAAGAAGACAAAAAGCAGGGTGGGGATGAGCATAATCAACGTCAACAAGATGAATGAGTAAATAGCGATTAACCTGACTGTAAGTCTGTCTTCCACATCCTGTGTCAGTCTGGGTCTGTCTCTCTGCTATTTTTTTGTTAGAATAGGAGCCGTTTATCTGCATCTCTCCTGTCTCTGAACAAAACAGCTTCAGTCAGCCATCAGCTCTGCGGAATACGCAACTGCTGCTGTTCCCAAACATTCACAGGTCTCCACATTATCACTGACACACATCTACAAACCCTTGGTGTTCCATCACACATCAATGCTGCAGAGAGCTTAAAATAAGGCCATCATGATCAGGAACTCACTGTCTGCACAATCCCAATCTGTTTTAATTACGAGGCATCTTACCAGTGGCTCTTCCAAGGTGGACACTGTAAATTGGACATGAAGGACTCAGGCGGCATGACATGTTTGCCACGGCTCCCTTAAGATTAAATATTTAAGCCTGGACTCCCCAGCAGAAACTTCTAATTACTCTAGCACACAAGCAGGAGTCATCTTGCAGCTCACTGGTTTGTTCTTTAACATCACCCAGGATCTTTTGGACACAGTGAAGAGTTTCTCAAATAAATCTTTTCACACTTAAATATGCCTGAAATCTACCTAAACCAATGTTAGGGCCTAATGTAAATGGAGTGAAAACTGATGATGAGGTTCATTCATTGCTCACTCTCACTGTGTCATGGTTGCAGGTTCTCTCATACTGGTTGAAGGCACCACCAGATAGGAGGAAAACAAGTCCAGAACACAGCATAGTAATTGGAGGCGTATGTGTAGTTCTCAGTTTTCTAATTAAGGTCTTAATCCTGATTATTTTATTATAATGAAATTAAAAAAGATATTCTTAGACAAATGTTTGTGTTTTTTCTGATGTCAGTGGAGCTGACCAGGTGATGGCCAGAAAACTTCTTATAATCGCACTGCAGAAGAGTCAAAGCAACTATTTTGCTGGTGAATCCACAGGGCTTAATCTGCAAAATTATTGGACACAAAATTACTATCCAAACATTGAAATTAATCTGCAGTTGAATATTTCAAATGAGACATAAAATGAAATGGAATCAGTATTTATAGCATATAAATAAGCAAATCGGGGGCAAGAGATACACAAAGAAACATTCTAGGAGAACAGAACACTGTCACCACAGCTCTTGTCCACATCATGCATGACCTTAGTGACAGCAGCTGTCATTTGGAGCTGACATTAACCAACAAAAGCTAAAGTCTTCATTTATGGCCTATCACACTACGAGCCATCAATACTTAATGAGAGTGTGAGAAGAAGACTCTTTCCAAGAAATGCAGAACAGAGGATCACCAGAACAGAAGCTCCATGACACCAAAAGCATCACTGCATTTCCTAAAACAAATTCTGATGAAACAAAGACAAGCATTGTTCCTGTTGGAGACTTAACAAATAGCCAGAAGGAAGGGTTGACAGTTTTACCACAATTTAAATATTAACCAATGACACAGCTTCAGCCTGGCAGATTCAGTTTCAAACATCCACACAGAAACTATAAAGGCGGGGGTTTAACTTTACTTATTGGCATTATTTTACTCAACTTTATTACATCTTTTTGTACTGAATAATAAAAGATGTGATTGTTCTCTTGCACATTGAAATGTTCTGATCATTTTTTCAGTCTAAGTTATCTTTTAATCACTTCCTATGCACTCATTCTGAAAAGTTTGCGTATTGGGAACAAGGTGTGGTTTCCTGCTATTTTCATAATGGATGCGATGCTTCTGTGATGACATCACCATCTAGATTTATTTTGTAATATATTTCTTAAAAGATAAAGGAATGAACTGATCACATTGGAATACAAATTCTGAATTTCAATAGAGCCACCAAATGGTCATGTAACTGTTAGCCACATAATAAGAGAGCAGGTCTACCTTTCATGCTCTAGTATCCCGTGTGTCAACTTCAGTGGATCCTTATCAGCACAGAGAGCACAGACTGAGCTTAGGTACTCCCTGCCTACCTTAGGTAAGTACATGTGTGATATACACAGTGTGTGTAATAGAATGTATAGACATCCATCCCGTGGCATCTATAGTGTTATATTTAGAGTTAGATGATGGTGAAGTGTTTATTATGACATCTTGTCTTCTTAAGTCACTAAAACAAAAGGCAGACACACAGAAATGTGACCCAGGCCTAACTGAAGAAGTACATCTATAAAACAAAAACAAGAAACGTTTTTCAAGTTTCTCTTTTACTCTCCAACAATAGAAAGTTTGTCTTTCACTGCTACAGTCATTCTGAAAGCCTAGTATATTATAAACAAAGTCATGTAGTATTTACAGTTCCTGTCTAAATTGCCAAAACCACAATTGTCTTTGATGTTTTTTTTATTGAAATGGTCTACTAGTAGCTAGAACATGATCAGGCTAATGTTACTGATCCCAGTTTGTGCTGTAAGCATGCTTGGAAAGCTTTGTGTGTTGGGTTTCCTAAAAAGTGTAAAAGTGTCCTCTAAAGTATCCCTACCACATCACTCTTCCTTACACCACTACATCTGTTGGCGAGTCAGCATTTGCAGAAATAATCCTGCTTTATTTCTCCTATATGTGACAGTGGATGATAATAACAGCACACACAGTAGCATTTTGGTGACAGATTCAGCACAGGGATGTTCCACATCCAGAAGAGCTGCGATAGATCTAAATCCCACAGAGATGTTATGCATGGCTGCCTTTTTCAGATTCGAGTCAGCCCTGAAAAGCAATGTCAGCCATCAAGGTCAAAAAACTATTTCTTCTTTAATCTAGAATCATTGTTTTGCTCTCTCCAAAAACAAACAAACCATACTGTTACAGAGAAAAGGACAAAATAATGTGAAAGATTAAAAACAACTGGTTTCTTTAATATTCACAGAGTCAAAATTAAATATCAGAGGTGCACCAACTAAAATGTTATCGATCAATAGAGATTTTGGCATTTATTTCCAGTATGAACAGATGATTCTGAATTTGGCCAATTCAGATACATTTTTATTTTATTATTCTGAAAACCTCACAATTCAATTAAATTTTGATACTTTGGGTCACAATTTCATTTGATATTGATTTAAATAATTCAATAATGAATGAGAACAAGTAATTCTTTAAATTATCTTAATATTTTAATACTTTACGGTATCAACATTTTTGAGCAGAAACATCTGAAAATAAAAAAGTAGACATGAAGTAGACACGTGCTCAGTGTGAAGTACAAGATAAAAAAATACAGTGCTATAACTGAAAATTGTACATTGAAGTAACTCCTTTATTTACTCCTTTACTGAGATAATTTATAAAATTTTTAAATGATCATTTTCAAGCATATTTGAACAACATTGCCATTCTGACCCTCGGCCCTCACCAGCTGGTGGTAATGCACACCAAAAGTTTCCCAGTAAACTCAAGAAGAAGACAACTTTGCATCAAAGGGTTTCACATTTGACACAGAGCTGATATAGCTAGCAGCAAATTGCATCATGGCCACTCTGCGCTGCCATTGGTGCACAGAAATGGCGCTGGCTGAACAACTTGCTCATCAAACTCGCTTCTATTGAGTTCCCTGACAAAAAGTGGAGGAAATGTAGGAAGTGGTACGCTCAACTATAAAAAGTCAAACATTCTCCAAAGTATTGCTCACCTTGGTGCGAACCCACTGATGAATGCAATATTGATTCACAGAGCTTTCAGAATCTGGTCAATACATGCACTTTAGTTTAGTTTTGTTCACATCACTGAACCTGTGTATTCTATGGCCCTTGTATTGTATTTATTTATTTATTGTGTAGTATAAGGTTTTAGCTCTGTTACACTGGTAGCCAAGTAACGACATTTCGTTGTCAAGATTCACCTTGTGTTTTTTTTTTGTACAATGACAATAAAGGAAGTCTAAGTCTAAGTCTAAGTCTATATTATATTGGAAGAAAATTGATTGCAATGCATTGATAAATTGATATCGTTGCCCATCCCAAAGGATTACAGAGCAAAACCTATCTATATGGCAGCATTTAGATAAAGTGAGGAATCCCAGTTACCACTGTCAACAAGAAAGCTAAACTCCACCAAGGATGCAATTGTCCCACATTGATTGCCTACATTGTACAACTTCTTTAATGTCTAATATCCCCCGCCATCACCACCATTAGCAACATATACATTTACAATCAGCAAGGAACTGTATTGTTTTCCTATTTATAATTCATTTCGTACTGCTGCACTGACCCCATGGCCCCACAGGGATCGTTTAAATTCATCTTATCTTATAGCTGTCATGCAATAATGGAAAATGTGGGCAGTAACACGGCAGGCAGACCCGGGCTAATTCAACTATCTCCAGAGGAGTAGTTACTGATGGCATTAGTTTGAATGATGACAAGAACCATGGAAGCCATAAAAGACCAATCAGCCATAAAGCCTACTTGTGTGCCGTGTTAACTCAGGACTATCAGCAATGTTAAGTCGGCCATGTTGTGAGCTTGAATGCATTTCCATTACACTGAGACAAAGCAGAGATATCTGCTTGCCTGGTCTCATCATTCCAGCCTCAAGACGATAGTGAGACGATACACCAGAGGAGAGAGCGGAAAAAAACACCTCACCCTCCTTCCATTCACACAGTCTGCTGAGCAGAGGGCTTTGTTTCTTTGTTGAGTGGCAGATAGAACATTGCATGAGTGCATGTTTGGGACTTTATATGTTGCATCTGTTACTGTGATAAACACTGAAGAATTTGCCTTTGTCAGGGCCTTCTGAGAGAAACCTGAGTAGATGAGAGAACCACAGGTAAACAGTCAAATAATGACATGAGGAACTCAATGAAGGTTAGGCTGGCATATCAGTGTGGTGAAATGTAAGTAACAATCAAATCTAGTTTATCTCAAACCATCTGAATGTGCAAAGCGAGGGGTCAGATGACACACAGGCAG